ACTATGATTTTGTTTGTTCCTCACATAAATTTCATCATTATTGTCGAATACTAGCATACTCAACTCTGATATGACTAGACATGGTAATGTTAATATTTTCAGTCTCTTGAATATATCTTTGCATGAATCAGTCTGTGAAAGCCCCGTCATTGATCGTAAAATTCGTTTTTGTGCCACGAAGATATCTTTTGCTAGGGTAGATAAACCCCAAAATATCACACCGTATCGTAGCCTACTTTCAACTTGTGCATAGTAGAGCTGTATCAATTGATCAATATTGAGTACATGCCGCAAATTTCTAAATTGAAAGGCAATCGAATTCAACTTTGAGAACAGGTAATGGGAGTGAGCCTTCCAATAGAGATTTTTATCTATGGTGATATGGTGAAATCTCAGTGCTTGCGTTTTCGAAGTATTTATCATTCAATGGAGTCATCACTTCATTGCATTTATCTCGCAAGGAAGGGTCCATTTTTTCAGATATGATTTACGACGTATCATCAGCGTACATTGTGAAGGATGCAGGTACAGAAAGTTTATCCAAATCATTAATATAGAACAAGAACAGAATTGGCCCCAATGTGGACCCCTGAGGGACACCAATGTCTGTTTCAGTTTGCTGTGAGAACTGAGTGTTGATTGCTACATATTGTGTACGTTTGAATATGAATGATTTTATCCAATCTAGAGGACAGCCTCTAATACCATGCGTTTAGTTTCTCGTCACATTTTTTATGAGTCGTACAAAATGATTCGATTACACAACTCACCTAAAATTGCTCTCAAGTGGCCTTCCAGAGTCTGCAGAATGGTCATCTTGATTTCCTTAACTGTTTTACCCAAAAACTGTTCCGAAGCTGTTTGCAAAAGTTCATCTGCCTTCATTATCTTGCACTGGGCTACTCCAGTCACCGAAAGCGGTACGCCCTGAGACGTTTCGACCCTTTCGCATTGAGGATTCAGGGTCATTACTTCCAAAGACAGACGTTGAACGTCCGTCACGAACCACCACGCCCATGACCATCCTCCTACTATGGTTACTTTTTTGGTGGATCCGCAGCATCCTCCTGAAATTTAAAATATATTATAAATTATAGGCAGAAGAAATGTATGAAAACAAAGTACATCGAAAAATGTCTTTTGAGACATTGTAAGATAGTTCCTCCGAAACAATCAGAACCCCCAGTTCGAACGAGGGAGGTTTCGTAAACGATTATAGTCGAAGTAAACGATATTGTGCACTCTTAAAGTGGAGGCACTCTCAAAGGTCAAAAAAACCAATACATAGAAATGAACCGGCAGCTAACTTATACACGTGGACTGTAGACTTAACGGTTCGTATTGGATAATTTTACAAACCGAGTATTATGATTGGCTAAAGAGTCATGAACATATTTGTCACCGTGTTACGGTGACAAATATAAATCGGGGAATCGGAGATGGTTATCGCCGTCGTGTTCAGTTCAGGAACTGATCGCGATTTGGGTGTTGAAATTCGACATTGGTGCAGTTATAATTACTTAAAATTTTTGTTATCTGTTTAAAATGTGGCGTCCTTGGATAAAAACTAATAGTAATAAAGAGTGTAATAACAACCCAGACTTTTTCTAGTGTAGTGATTCCAATAGCGATAGTGAACAATGCGAAAAAGAGATACCAGTGAATAAGATTCGGATGCATTTGAATACTGAAACACAAAGAGTATGTTTCAATGTATATAAGAATCTACATCTTAAGTTTGGTGTCGAGGGAAAGAAACTATTACAAGCAACATCAGATTTGACCGAAATTCCTTTCTCAACTGTACGTAAAATAGTCAAAAACAAACCTTATGAACGTAAGACGCGATGTGATACAGAATTACCAAAACCTTTAGATGTTCATTTGATAAAATCATTGAAAAAACAATATACGACTATTACAAAAGCAATGAGATTGGTACAACTGAAATCATAAGGAAGAAATTGAATATTTCCGGCCATAACGTGAGCTGCTGTGACAAAACTCTTCAGAATTGGATGAAGAAACTAGGATATAGATTTAAAATAATAAACAAACGCCAAGCAGTTAGGGAAAGCAGAAGAATAGTGGAATTGCGTAACAAATACTTAGAACAAATAACTAAACATAGACAAGAACAACGGCAAATTTTCTATTTGGACGAAACTTGGTATGACACTCACGACATACTTACGAAACGGTGGTTAGGTTAGGTTAGGTTAGGTCCAAAGTGAGTAGGTCTATTCGACCCGCCACCGCAACCTGCGAGGGTTTATTGTGGCTCACACCTATTCTCACTCGGCCAAACAAACCCAGCTTCTTAATGAAGCCGATTACTTTGTATGGTGAGTGGTCTTTCAGGTCAGATGGTAAGAGTACGGCTCTGCTGATGGACTCTAAAGACCTGATTCGGTCCCCAGCGGGGCAGGCATAAAGTATATGCTCTGTTAATGAGGTAGTCGGATAGTCAAGTTGCAAGATTCCCACCTTGATACCCACGACAACCTTCCCATATGAGGGTTTTTGCACGTCAGCTACACCTGACGATGCCTTAGATTCATCCGTGCAGGGCTTTTCTGCCTCTGGTTTTGCTGAAACCTCTCTTGAGCACAAACGTTTGGTAACCTGCTCATGGGGGGTTTAGTTCCCCCACCTGAGACAGATTCTGCGTACGCCGCAGCTTTCGCTCCTGAACTAAATTTACAGGGAGGTCAGTCGGTCAGGTCAGGTCATCCATCTCCTCTGTAGACTCGCTCCTGAACTAAATTTACAGTGAGGTCCGTTGGAGTCGTGAATTCGACATTCATCTCCTCTGCAGACTCGCTCCTGAACTAAATTTACAGGGAGGTACGAAAGGATGGACTGATGGTTCGAGAATGTGTACGCCTAACATGCCTGCAAACATAGGATCGCGACTAATCATTGTGCATTGCGGAGGAAGCGAAAGATGGGTTCCGAATTCTTTGAAATTATGTGGAAAAAAAAGCTGAGAACTGCAATGGGTATTATCATAAAAACATGGAAGCTAATATTTTCGAGTAATGCTTTGAAAACACATTGATCCCAAATTTGGATGCGAACAGTGTAATAGTTTTTGACAACGCTTCCTATCATTCCGACAGCTCATCAAAGTACCGAATGAAAATTCGAGGAAAGATGAAATACAAAGTTTTTCAATGGAAAAAAAATTGTATTTTGAAAATTACTATACCAAAAACCAACTACTTCAAGTTTTACAGACAAAAACATTTGAAAAAGTGTATGCCCTTGAGAGTATTGCTGAAAAGTATGGACACACCATACTGAGACTTCCCCTCTATTTTTGTGTTTTCAATCCCATCGAGTTGATTTGGGGAAAATTGAANCTTTTTATTACATATATATTATTTTGATTCTTATATAATCAGAAATGATTATTGAATAACGAAATTAGTTAGCTAAGTAACTATATTATTAAAGGGGAGCTGTTAGAAGGTAGTTTGCACTATATCGTTTACTTGAACTATACCTAACTACACTGGTTAGTATTACCCAACTACTACCTGTTATTGTTACTATGCTAAACTAGCTGTTTTTCAATACCTGTATTTCCTCTATGTTAGTGACTATCCCTTACATTTTTCTGGCTAATATTTATCTGGTTTTCATTTAGAATTATAACGTATAGAGGAAATACATAATTAAAGGTATTAAAAACCAGGTAGTTTAGCAATAACAGGTAGTAGTTAGATAATACTAATCGCTGTAGTTAGGTACTACTGACAGGTACTAGACAGGCCACTAGCATATAAAAAAAAACATAGTAGTTAAATTTAGTCATAATGATTCCTGAGGACGCTAACTTGGTAAGCGAAACGCGCGTCGAGAGACCGTAACTTTTGTTCTGGTGTTGGGAAAGCGTTTTCAATAGATATGAAAGATATTCAATGCAGAGGGGTGTTTTTATTGAACATTAAACATCTTTTCTGATTTAGTCGATAGTGTGGACACTCAATATTCGTCAGTTCTTTCATAAGGATCCCAGAGAGAAAATGAAATAAACAATCATTTCTTTGAAAATTTTTATTTTTTAAAACTTACCAATAAACACTTTTTAACAATCTCTGAAAACAGCTGTTCACATAAATCCTACTTTCAAATCACAAAATTATTCACTAGTCTTGTTAATGGAAAAACTATTGGTTTTCAAAACAACGGATCATATAATTAAAATTCCTTTAGTCTATTAAAAAACGTTACCACTGGGGTCTTCCACCGGTACGTACTCTGAATCAATAAGTGAAGAATTGAAAAGATCACCTTTCTCTGGTCATTACCGTTACTAATATGTCCAGGAATTTTGATTTTACCTGCTTACAGTCACGTAGGACGTTAGGAGTCTCCAACAAGTTTCACTTCTTTGAACAATTCGCATTAAATCTATATTAAATCCAACGAAAAAACGGGGAAATAAACTGAATCACCGTGACGATAATGTAAAGGTTTTTTTACGAAAGTCTTGATTCACTGACGCCATTCAGTATAATAAGTGTGGAAGTGGGAACTTTTAATACCTTCTTCAGTGTCTTCATTTGAACATTCATTTTATTAAACTGAAAGGGGTAAAGTTTCAGGTGAGATTAATTTTTGGAACAAAAAGGTTTCGGCTTTCCATTTCTCCATCTTTATATAAAAAATGTGGGAATCTTCCAAAGGAAGGAAGGAAGCAATCGATTTAAAAAAATCATGCAAAGAAGTAACTGGACACCAAAAACTGGAAGAAAAACCCCTTTCGAAATAGCTGCTTTCATATCAACATTGAATTATCCAAAAAAATACTTTCGAAACGAATACTGAATAACACTTTTCTCTATTCGCTTTGTATTATAGAGATTCGTTATGAAATTGAATCAGATATTATTCACAGGATTGCTACACCATAT